ATGATGATGATGAAGATAGTTATAAATGTGACTTTTAATGTATTTTCCTTCCCAATGTTAAAAAGTTATAAAATTGTGACAGAAACAGAAGAAAGAAGTCAAATAAGGAGGAGTTTTTATTTTCCAGGAAAAACATGAAGCTAAAGTACCGGATCGGTTCGGGCGGCACACCTAGCTGACCATCCTCGTCACGTGACGTGACGTGTAGCTAGCATGGCGGCGCTACAGCTGAGCTAGCAGCCCTGCTGGACGGACAACCACAACCCGGCTCCTGCTCGCTTCCCCGGCGCCAGGCGGAGCATGGCGGCCTGAGGAGAGCGGAGGTTACCGAGCGAGAGATGCAGGAGCAGCGGCGGTCAGAGAACAGCAGAACCAAGAGCATGTTTCTGTCCAGGGCGCTGGAGAAAATCCTGTCCGACAAGGAGGTGAAGAGGAGCCAGCACAGCCAGCTGCGCACAGCCTGCCAGGTGGCGCTGGGTAGGTCCGGCTCTGGCTTAGCTTGGTCCCGGTTCTGGTTTAGTTTGGTCCCGGTTTTGGCTCAGCCTGGTCCCGGTTTTGGCTCAGCCTGGTCCGGGTTGCGGCTGTTGGGGAATCCGGGCTCCGCTCCCTGATCGGTTCCTCCTCCGATCCAGTTCAGCCCAGAAATGATAGAAAATAGGGCTGATCAAGATGGAGACTCTGGGATCAACGTGTCATTTAAAGCAAACTTTATATAAAGGGTGAATTTTAATTAAATGGTTTAAGGAGCATAAAAACAGCGGAATGCTCCTTTATCCCAGGGCAGGTCGGAAGCTAACTTCAGCTCCGTCCGGTTTGAACGGCCTGAAGAGCCGCGAGCTGCTGGGGGGGGACTGGGGGGAAGAGGCGCGCGAGCTGTGGGTGTTTCTGCTCCCTGTCATCACTGCCAGCTGCCGTCATTGTTTCTATCTAATGATCCCTCTGTTAGCCTGTTAGCCTGTTGGGGCTAATTTAGCCCAACGGACCAATCAGAGCGTTGAACGTAGCTCTGTCACCCAGCCTGGTCCTGATCTCTCTCTCGGATGTTGGAACCTGTTTCCACCTGAGCGGATAATGTTCCCCACCCCACGCCACGCCACGCCAGACAGGCTGCTGAGCCCACGGTGTCTGCTGCTCATCTATTAGCTCCTCCTTCATTCCAGAGCTAAAGTAATAATAATAATGTGCAAAAGAGAAAAAAGAATAAATAGATATCAATAATTGATTCGATTATAATAGAATGATTGACAATTATTGATATTTATTAACTATGTTTCTGTCCTTTGCATATCGATATGATTACATGATTTTAGATCAGTAAAAAAATAATATATATATAAATATTTAGCGTGGAAAG